CCTCCCAACAATGTGGTATGCAGTAAATGATTAGCAGCATGACTGTAACTATTTCTGTTCAGAACTAAACCCCACTGAGTTCAATTGTGCTTACTCCTAGGTAAGTGGGATTAGGATTAGAGCTCCAAAAACTTTATTGTTGGCTGGCTAAATTCCTGCTGATTTAGCTAGGTCACACAGGTGGCAACTTGTTCTGCATGAAAAGAATTTGAGGGATTTTTTTTGCAGAGGGTGGGGGAAGAGACATACAACCTGTTCCAAATGTGGCTAGAGATTCAGGATGATCAATGTCCTAAACACTAGTTACCTTGGAAACCAAAACCTTGAAAGTATGTCAGACACATTTCCAGTTAAGAAAATATTCATTTGGGAAGATCTATGTATCCGTCTGTCTGTGTCTGTCTGTCTATGTCTCCAAATTTTTTAAACTGGAAATGTGTCTGACATACTTCACATACATTACCTCAGTAATCCTTGCAACAACCCTATAAAGTAGGTCGGCATCATTACTATCCCTCTGTGTGTACATCGGAGAGAGGAAACCTGAGGAAAACAAAATGCCCCAAGGCCAAATAATATGTTTGTGGCTGAGATAAGGTAAGATTTTTTTAAAAAATTTATAGTCTGAGATTCTAGACAATAGCTCTTGGGAAGAAAAGACACCTCACCACCAACATAGGCTGTGTTACACACATGTAGGGCATCCTCTTCATATGTACTTAGTCATTTGCCCATTACCTGATCATGCATGTTGTGCATTGATCTATCTTGCCAGCCACTCAGGTTGAATAGGGATGTAAACATGCATGATGTGATAAGTACACAGGCTATCCAACCCTGCAGTGGGTAAAGACTAGATATAAAGACTAAAAGAACTGGGCATGTTTAGCCTTGAGAAAAGAAGACTGAGGGGAGATATAGCAGCGCTTTTCAAATACTTGAAAGGTAGTCATACAGAGGAGGGGCAGGATTTGTTCTTGATCATCCCAGAGTACAGGACATGCTCAAGCTTCAGAAAGCCAGATTTAAGCTGAATCTCAGGAAAAATGTCTTAAGTGCTAGAACAGTACGACAATGGAACCAATTACCTTGGGAGGTACACTGGAGGCATTCAAGAGAAAATGAGACAACCATCTATCAGATTTGCTTTGACTTGGATTCCTGGATTCAGCAGGTGGTTGGACTTGATGGCCTAGTAGGCTCTTTCCAACTCATTTATTCTATGGTTCTACAAATAAGGGTTCCTGACTCCAACATCAGCTAAAAAGCACCAACTAACTCTCCCCTACCCCTACAATTAGTAGGTTGCTCAAAGAAAAGTACAGTGCCTCGCTAGACAGTTACCCTGCATGACAATTTTTTTGCTAGACATTGGCTTTTTGTGATCACTATAGGGTTTTGCAAAATAGTGATTCCTATGGGGGAATTTTGCTGGACAATGTTTGGTCCCTGCTTCGCAAACAGATTTTCGCTAGATGACAATTTTGACAGCTCCCTCCGCGCTAAAAAACAGGTGTTTTCGGGACCTAAGCTTCGCAAGACAGCGATTTAAACAGCTGGTCAGTGGTTCGCAAAGAATGGTCAGTGGTTCGCTAGACAATGACGATTCTTCCCCATTGGAATACATTAAACAGGTTTCAATGCATTCCAATGGGGAAATGCTTTTCGCTAGACATTGATTTTGCTAAACAGAGATTTCAGTGGAACGGATTATCATCGTCTAGCGAGGCACCACTGTATACTTAAGATGTGAAAAACTTGCAAGCTTAATCTTGTACAGAATGCAAATCACTGAGCATGTATTCACAAGCATTGTGTTCCTTTTTTTTTTTTGTAGTACCAACAGTAAGTACTGTACCATTAGGCAGAATGATGGGTGTGCCTCAAGCAACAGAGTTTTGGAGAGGGGGCATTTCAAGGACTGTCCCTACTAATCTTCCATTGTTGAAGAATAACTGTCTGTAATGTACGGTTAATTTTAATGTTTCAACCTGGCTTGATGCTATTTATCCCATAGTCAGTACCGAAGTAGGATTCAAACAACAATCTAATTGGCATGTATTGGGGGGCATTTTTAGACAGCAAAGTATCTTGGGTGGGCCTTGCTTTCTTCATCCTCAGCCATTCAAATAAATATCCACTCTTGTTGCTCCACCTGAGGGCCCTTCTCAAAATAATGTAAATTCTGCAGGCCTCAAGATGAGCCACCCATCCTCTGCCACACTGATGAAGAATAGGAGACAGGGGAGAGTTTGAAAAGGTTCCTTTTTTTGGATACAGCTTACCAAATCTCATAATAAGAATGACTAAATGCTCTCTAGAGCACTTAGGCTGCCTAGTCTAACTAGCGAGTACAATTTTGGCTGTAGTAAGGAGAAAGTCTAGGAGGCATTTCAGAGAAATAATCTGCACATAAAAGAATGTGCATGCTTTAACATGTGAGGATTAACAATTCTTTAAAAAATGTCCAGTTGGAAAAATATGTATATTTTAGTCCATGGGGGAAACGTGTAAGTTTGGCGAAATACATAAATAAATGTGAATATTAGGAAACAGAAGGGGTTTTTTAAATGCACAAATTTTTAAGGCACCCCACCTCTTCCCCAAGCCTCACAACCTCATCTAAAAGAGAGCTGAGAAGAAAATGCACATGAGATTCAGAAAAATGTAAGAACTGAAGACTGAAGAATTTCACATCCTTATCCAATGATAGGAGAAGGAAAGAAACAATGTATTTTTATCTCCTCTATTGGCATTTGGCTAGGTTATGGCACACTTCTCGAATGTTCAGTTAATCCCCCCTTTTTTTTGCACACCTGCATCATGAGCTGTACACTGGAACTGGTTGAGAATTTATCGGGAGCCAAGAAAGAAAAGGCAAAGACATTCTTATAACATCAGGTTTTATTGAACTGAATGGAATAAGAGAAAGGTAAGTAGCAGTATTTGCTGTCCATCGTTGGTAGTCTTCTAGTAACAACAACAGTTGTCACCACAGCCACAGTAGAATCATTTTTATTCTGCTTATTGGCTAAAATGACAATGTACAAGTACATTCCAGGGCAACATACAAGTATTAGTGGCAGAGTATTTCTTCCCATCAGTCTTACATTTTTTTATTTAAAAATGAGATGACAATAAGGAAAAACAAATGAGGACAGTGGAGGAATTTAGATTTGTTTCCCCACTAGATAAGGCGATACCTTTTAATTGGACCAGTTTGTGCTGATGCGAGAGCTTGCTGCACCTTGTCATCAAGAGGGATTGTTTATTCAAAACTATCAGGTTGTCTACTTTGACAGCTTTGTGATATGCCAAAAGCTCTGGCAGGATTAAAACATCATAGCTGAACATCTCCCCAGAGTTTGCTTACTGAGTGCTGCAAAAGACAGAAGACTGCTAGGCATCCCAGAATATACTAGCTGTTTTCCACAGAAAAGCATGGCATCTGTAAATGAGTCATTGCATTAAAGAGGCAAACAGGACATCAGATAAGACTTTCTGAAACTAGAGCTACATATTTCATGAGACCAGAGGCTGCCTATAAAGTAGTACTCTGATCATAAGAACATAAGAAGAGCCCTGCTGGATCAGACCAAGGGCCCATCTAGTCCAGCTTCCTGTATCTCACAGTGGCTGCACCAGATGCCTCTGGGAGCACATGAGGCAACTAGACAGCCTCTCCCCCAATACCCCTCCCCTACATCTGGCATTTTGAGGTACCTTCCTTTTAAGCCTGGTGATGATATATCCCAATCATGGCTTGTAACCTGCAATGGACTTCTCCTGCAGGAATCTGTCCAATCCCCTTTTAAAGGCATCTAGGCCAGATGCCATCACCATATCCTGTGGCAAGGAGTTCCGTTCCACAGACTAACAACACGCTGGGTAAAGAAATATTTTCTTTTGTCTGTTCTCATTCTCCCAACCCTCAATTGGAGTGGATGTCCCCTGGTTCTGGTATTTCATGAGAGGGAAAAGAGGTTTCCTCTCTCCACTTTATCCATCCCCTGCATAATTGTATATGTATCCAGTGAAAAAGGGCAGCTGTGAATTGCTGCTAATGGCTGCTTATACCCTCCACTGTGTGTCAGTCATGTGAGCTGGTGTGGAACTCAGGCAGACAAGCAGAAACTCATTAACCAGGGGCATTTGGTTCTGTAATGTATGCCATTGCCCTTAATGCCAGTAAAACTAAGCAACAGGATTCTGGCCTGTTCATGATAGGCAGAAATAAAGGGCTACTTTCATTGAGATTGTCAAATCCCACTAAATTCCTTACATATGTTGATGATAGCATATTCTTTTTTTCTGGGTGTGAGACAATCTGAAAGTTTGTACTAAAAGCTAGACTGGAGAAATCCAGCCTGGAAAATCCACGCCCACACGTACCTAAAGTTAGTTGACTCTCTCAAAGCAGCCAGAAAAAAAATCTCTTCATCCCTCCCAGTAACATTACATTTCCCAGCCAAACAATTAATGATTTACTCCACCCTCATAACAAGAAAAATCTACTCTCTGAACCATCACATCAGTGTCTTGTGGTGATGCCAACTGGTTCATGCTTCTTTTGTTTTAGCTAGGATAGGATCATTGCAAAACAGATTGTATGTACTATATGGGAAATGTTTGAGACCAATATCCACTGAAAGGAGTGACAAAATATTTTCAATGCAAGTCTGGTTCCTAGGTTCCTGTAGTATTTTCTGGCCATCTTCATTTTATTTCTAAGCAGGCACCTCACTTAACTTTAGAATGCACCATTCCATTCAGGTGGAACAAGTATTTGACGAGTTTATGGATTATTTCTGCAAAACTAATTTCACTCCAAAACTCTACTGAACATTTATATGGCTTGAGGTCAGGCATCTTCCAAACACCTAAGCTTCTCTGCTTTTCTTTCTTTCTATCAGTATTTTGGCAGAGTACTGTAATTTTTTTTCGGGGCTTCCACCAAAAAAAAAGTTAACAGGCTTACCTCAAAACAAATTGTACTGTAGGCAATGGATGAAAGAAGTTAGCTTTGTCCTGCAGGTCTTCAATCTCATCCTGTCCTAGGGACAGGATCAGGGGCTGAGAGGGCGGCAGATTTAGTGGGTCCACATTTTCTTCATTTTGACCTACCCCCATAACACCACTGTGTCCTTTCCCCCACTTCCTGAGGTAGGTGTTCCTAGTTGGCAGACAGAAGGCCCCTGTGGAGAACTGGAAGGGACCAGAAGGGGTTGGTTATTGCTGGTACTTCCCCTCTCAGATGGCAACTTTCCTGAAGACATCAGAGAGGGAGACCTGTTCCTTCCTCTCCCTCCCTGGGATGCACTTCCAGGATCATAGAATTCAAGCCTCAACTAAGTTTGCTTTTGAAATGTCGGCCTTTCAAAAGTAGTGTACAGTGAAACTGATAATTTGCCAATTTTCTAAATTCTCTCTCCCATGTAAAAACTTTGGAACAAAAGCTAAACTTTCCTGAAGACATCAGAGAGGGAGACCTGTTCCTTCCTCTCCCTCCCTGGGATGCACTTCCAGGATCATAGAATTCAAGCCTCAACTAAGTTTGCTTTTGAAATGTCGGCCTTTCAAAAGTAGTGTACAGTGAAACTGATAATTTGCCAATTTTCTAAATTCTCTCTCCCATGTAAAAACTTTGGAACAAAAGCTAACTGAAAACAAATTTATTTATTTATTTATTTATTTATTTATTTATTCATTCATTCATTCATTCATTCATTCATTTATTTATTTATTTA